AGGAGGAGGAGAATGAGATGATGGTGGTAATGGTGATGCTGATGGCGACGATAATGATGACGACAGCGACTTGTGACTTGCGACTGCGATGGAAGGCGTGCTGTAGTGGTGGTACTACGGTAAGGTTGGCCCAGAGCGGATCCGCTCTGGATTGGCCACAGCGAATCCCGCAGTGGGAGCAGATCCCACATTCTATACCATCACCGTCAGTAAACTTTTTGATTACCTATAGGCTACACCCTCGTGTAATAGGTCGGGACGAATTTTACTTACGACAGCCGCGGCCCCGACTGTTGCGGCGCTATAGTAAGCCGCCTCATATCCCTGCTCGCCTGATTTCCTGTCTATGCCGTAGACATGTTGCACAGATTACCGTGCACACAGCGCTCAGCAAACGGAGAATTTACACCTGTCTACTGTTTGCTACATCGCATCCAGCTGCTCTGGCCAATGGACGATGCGAACAGGAACGTGCGATGTAGGCACAACATCTTTCGTATGGGTATTTGTGTGGTAATCACGCAGCCCCTTAAGATTTGTTTTTTTCGCTTCGCTTTCCGTACTTTTTTGACCTTTATATGCGCGCATATTAAGAAATCCTTCCTCCCATGCTGTTCTTGGATTCCTATCGTGTCCTTTGTTTTAATGCGGCGAAACTCTTTTCTTGTTTGTTTGTCGTACACGTACTTTTTACCGGTTGGAGTAGCCCTGACTTTTCGGCGGTTGGCTTGCTGTTGGTAAGTGCATTGATTAGTGCATTGGTTCATGCATTTCTCGACGCCCACCTGGTTCCGGGCCCCACCTGGTTCTGAAGTGAGGACCGGCAGACAAACAGAAAGATAGATGAAAAAGAATGTGCGTGCAGGTCGGCAGGCGGAGGCGGAGCTGGAAAGGGGAAGCCATAAGGGCCGCCATCCTGAGTCCCAATTTGGAGTCCCAACGGAACCGTAGCGCCTTAGTGCGGTGCACCGTACGCACTTACTAATGGCGAGTACTCTTTTGGCTTCTAGTTGCTCTGCGTTTTTGTGACGTGTGGCTGAAACGGCTCTCCCTAGGCCCACCGGGTTCAACCTCCGGCAAAACGAAGGCTGGGGACGTAGATCACATGCCGTGATTTGCACACCTGCCACATTACCCTTTTCGACTGGCAGTTGTTGTAGCTTATCACACACAAACCTGTAAGGTGTCGTACGCCCGATCCGACGATGCTGTTTTTAAATTGCACTTGGCTGTGTTAATCGTGTGTGCCGCCGGCGTCAGCATCAGTCCTGCATTGCTTTCATTGCACTGCAGTACGTACGACTCATGGCTTATGTACGGTAAATGCGGTTACAGCATGTCAAGCAGTGTTTATCCTTATTTCTCAGACACCAATGATTTGGCGATGTGGGCCCCCCGACTGTTATTGCGTACTCTTGTTTGTTTAGTTGTTCTGGGCTGTCGAGCTACACAAACGCGCACACCCGGACCAATCAGACTCGCCTTTGGAATCGCAGCCTTGCCTGATCTCTGTCTAGGGATTTACATATATTTCTTTTGCGCCGAGTAACTCTAAGGCGCACAGGCCGGCCGTACAGGTTTTCCGTGCCCTTCAGTGCAGACCGCATCACCGCTTGTTAGCTGCGACCAACTGCAATCAACCAAAGTTCCGGCAGGTGCCTCAAAGACACTGTTCTATGATTAATGAACTACCGGGATGCCAAGGGCTCAATTGCGACGGCTGTCCAGAAGCGGCTTCCGGTCAGCAGCGGGCAGGCTGGCAGGCTGGCAGGTCGCGGTTAAGCGGTGGTTGAGTAATTGGTTAAATTTGGTTGGCTGGTTGATGATTAAGGTCGCTTTGCAAAACCTTGGACGGTTCTCTTTTCCTTCTTTTTGGAGGGCTTCTAGATGAAACTCTGGAATACCCTGATCGCGGGGAAGTGCTGATGCTTGAGGCGAGTATGTAAGTAAGTATATATATATATGTATATGTATATGTGCGTGTGTGCCTATCTGTAGTCGCTATCTGTAGCCGGTTGTCCGTGCGTGGCCGCCCCGGGGGGTTGCGGACTGCCCGCCTCATCACGTCGTTGCAGAGCCCCGGCCTCCCGCGGTGTCGGGTTACGATGCTGCTGTTTGGGTACCTGGGGTTCGCAAACCTTCCAGTGTAATCAACACGATTTGGGAATGAGCGATGAAGATCGATCACGGTTTGCTGTTGGACCTCAGCAAAACAGTAAATCAACAGAAGATATAAATCTGTGAGATGTAAACCCGTACTCGTACTCCTAGCTAGTAGGCAGGTAGGTGCTAAACTACCCTACATACAAGTTGTCGTAAACCCTTTTCCAGGCTTATTTTCCATTTTTAAGCAAGTTCGGTCTGGGCAACCCTTAGGCGTTCTGTCGCTTAGGGAAGACTTGGTTTGCTTTTCACAGCAGCCTTACCGGTTTGTACTGGTAGGCTACGTCAATCCAACCGCCGCTGTTCAGTTGTGTTCCGCGCACAGCCGCTTGCCTGGTCAGCAGTTCGGCTTGAATACACTGCTTTCTTAGGCTTAGC